TAGGAAGCTGCTTTAAGAAGCTATAAGAAAGTCGTCCCAAATGAAGTCTTAGTCTTCATTTGGGACAGTTTTCTTCCTGCTTTTCGAAACAGTTTTTTCTAATACAAAAATTTTTAAATTTTTTTTTAATAAAAAGTTGTTTTAGAAAGCAACAAAAAAATTATCTCAAACAAAAACTTAATTTGCTCAGTTTTTTATGAGACCTAACTTGTTTCTACAAGTTGCATAACTTATTTTTAGGTGCACATCCTTGTTTAGCATACCTATGATGTTCCTGTCGCATCATCTCATATTGAATTATCATGAAAACTAGTAAATCAATTGTGTTTGTAATATTGTCGCCCATCTCTTCAATCAAAGAAAAACGCTTGACCTATATCTTAGCAAATAAAGGCAAGCGGATGCAGGATGGTTCAAGGTTAGGTTTTCCTAATTTTATGCTGCAATATACATAAATCATACAAGGGAACTTAAGAATTCACATATTGCAAATCAGTAAATAGGTCCTTTTTTTTTTTTTGCTTAAATTTAAAGTAAATATGAGAAAAAGAACCCAAATGATAATATAATGATCAAATGAATCTAAAAATTTAATAAAAAATTTTGAACCATAAATGATCAAGAAACAATTATATTTTAATCGTTACAAACATATTGCTAGTTACATCGAATCTGTACAAATCAAGAACATTAGGAAGCCAATAATAAAATATATAGAAAAAATTAGGTAAAAAAGAATTCAATCAAAATAAGAAATCCAAAACAGTTGCACTTCTATTGCACTTAAAGGAATGAAACTAAGTCTTAGAACATCCATTTATAGACTTTTTATCTCCTAGATGAGGAGATGGTTTTAACAAAAAATTAGTCTAATTTGATTCCAATCCATTCAATTTTAAACTTACGGAAAAATTCTAACTTCAACAGCCCATGGGCTAAAAGGAAATTCAAGGTACCCATAACTGCAGTTCTCCTTTAGTGAACATCCTAACAAACAACCCTTCTTTACCGCCAATAACCGGCCCCATATTAAGGTAGCAGACTAACAGTTGTATCGACTGAGAGCAGTTAAACCGCAAGTAGAGAATAGATGAATCCATAATAAGCGACAACAAATCATATGAAACTTTTGTACTAAGAAGTTTTAATTTTTGTACTAAAAAGCTGCTTTAAAGAATGATTTTAATCTGCCCAGCTTGAAAAATTTTGTTGAATTGAGCTTTAAATATTTTATCTATAGATCTTTGAACTGGAGGATATCCAAGAATCAAACCAAGTTCATCTCATACCACACCATATAAACAAACCTAACATTAGGAAAAGAATACACCCTTTCTCAAGTCCATTAAAATAAACAAATAAAAAAAACCAACAAATGAAGACAAATAAACTTTACTAAAAACATTACTTAATGTGATTCTTCAAACTGGAATAAACAGACATTTCATCAAATCTATTTGGTTTGGACAAATTTAGCTCTGAATTTAGCATTTAACACCCATCAAACAAATTATAGCATAAAGTTTATACATATTGCAAAGTAATCCATGAGCCATCACATATAAATTGTTGACCCCATAAGCTTAGGTGATTTCTGTGTGGTTCATTAGAATTTGATGATGACAAACCTTATCTGATGGTATGCTATTTTTTTTTCTATATTACTCATTCACTAAAAACAATGATGATGATTGATTTCACTGGTCATTCTTGGATATTTGGTCTATTATAAATGCATTAAACTTGGCAAATTCAATAAGAATTATGAGTAAAGAGAAAATACAGTATTGTTTAGAATGAATGAACTTGTTTTTATAAGCATTAAAAATAAAATTTAAATTATTACAAAAAATATTTTACATAGCTACATTTTTTATAAATTACTTAGCTCAATTTTCTATTTAAATATATTTTAACAATTACTTCATATATTATATATTTGACTGATTAGCAACTAGTGATAATATGCATATTTTATTTATCATTATGATTTTTATCAATCATGTGTTTAACAAATTTAGTCTTCAGATGCAATAATTTTACTTGTAAAGTCACAAATATTTTCCTAAGTTGCACCAAATGATCATGTCTTATAACAAATTAAAATATCATTAAAAAAAAATTCTGACATATTTGTATCCCCGTTAAAAATACTAGGTGAAGTTTTCAACCTAAAAATCATCATCACAATTCATACAATCAATTTTTTTTTATTTTAAAAGCAATTTTTCCTTTATCAATTTACTGCATTCTAGTAAGATGGAAAGACAAATCTTAAATCATTCATCATATTTAACCTATCATCTAAAAGAGGTACACAAAATCTATAATTGATATTTATTTCATTAATGGCTCCACTATGTACATAGATATGCTAACTCTCATCTTTCTCAGTTGTAAGTAAATCAGTTATAGCACAAGGGATCCCACTTTTAACTCAAAAATGTGACAGTAGAATGGATCTCCTTTAAAGTTCCTCTTCAAGTTGATTACTGTTAGTTTCCAAAGCCTAAGAGGTCTAAGCACCACGCAATTTCAACAAGCCTAGATCGCACCTAACTTTAAACTTATGAGAGATTTTCAAAGCAAGCACTTTGTGTACCATGGATTCGACGTCATAAAAAGTACATGAATTTTAATCTCTCTTAAATAATTTTCTTCTCACTCTAAATATTATAATAGCATTGGGACATACTATGCAACACAAGACCAATTTGTTTGATCGTCTTTAAATCTTTCCCATCAAACTATGCTTAACTTTGCTTCAAAACTATTCCTATAGCAAAAAAAACCTAAACCTTTTGTTCTTAAAATATGGTACTCCACCAAAGCTAATGAAATTGAAGAAACATCAAACAAAATTGCACCATGCAATACCAACTCTTCCCAAAGCACGAGTACACCATTGTCGACAAAGGAAAAAAAAGGCCCAAATCTCTTAACACAATCAAGTGAGAAATTACTTATGAGACACAATAAGGAAAGAGGATTAAATTAAGACTAGAAAGTACAACAACAACATCAAGGTTTTATCCCATTACGTGGGGTCGGCTACACGAATCTTTTTTCTCCATTGTGTCCAGCTAAGAGTCAAATTCTCATTTAAATCTAATAAAGAATGGTCATTTCTAATATTTTCTAAACAAATCTTTTTAGGTCTACCTCTACCTTAACATAGATCAAATCTACTACATCTACTCTCCTAACTGGGTCATCGGAAGACCGATGTTTTACATGACCAAACCATCTAAGGAGACTCTCTCTAATCTTATCTGTCACTGGAACTTTTTTTTCATTGAAACTCTCTCTAAGACTAGAAAGTACCCACTTCAAAAATTCCTTGAAGGAGTTCTTCATACATCTATAAGGATTTGGCTCAAAATTTCTACCGCAACAATACTTATAGTTCTTCAAAATGGCATTCTATCATCAAAAATATATCTGGTCATGGGAATTTCAAAAATCTCCAAGCAGCTGAGCAATCACATCACCTACAACAATCCAAAGCTTGGGGCCTCATATAGATTACAATAACACTATCATTTTCAACTAAGTTTAGGAACTATTTGGTTAACATTGAAATAGGTTTTGACCTAATAAAATCAATTTTTTTGTAAAAAAACGCCTATTTAAGTATTGGCTTATTTTCAATTAGTCGAGATGATACTCCAAGCTCACAAAAATAAACGTACCATCCCCTTCTCTCTTCTCTCTAATTCTCTTTTAAACCTTCTTCATTTTCTCTTTAATGAAAAGCCGCAGGAATCCCTTATAGGCGAAACTCAAGCAAACGTTGCCACCGATCCTTCTATACACACAAAAATCCCTTAGACAAGCCTCTTGATGCAGCACAATGCAGCTACATTTTTAGGAAATTTAAGGTAAATTAAATTTTGACTCAACTCTATTAAAAATAATATCATAAATTAAGTTAACCAATTTTCAGATCAAGAGTAAAAAAAACTGAGATAACTAAGGTTGGGATGCTCGCTGTTTTAAAAGCTAAGACTATAAAAACCCTTGAGTAAAAAAAAGCTAAACTCTTAAGCTTCGATGCGCCTTTTGATATAATGGTTGGAATTTTATTTAAGAAACTCCGCCGTAAAGCATGCTTATCCCGGAGAAATCTAGGGATGAGTGACCTAAGTTACACCAATATGACAAAACTGTGACGCCCCTAGGTCAAAGCGGATAATATCTCGATAGTTAAGATTTTTTACTGTTAGAAATGATATCAGAGCAATAAACCAGCCAGAAGATAGAAACTAAGTGTCATACAAGACAAAGTACTACGCCATACAAGCCACCTTTTGAACCTTGTATGGACAAAATACTACATGGCAGGAGTCACCACTTGAAATTGTAAGGGCCACCTATAGAAACTTATTTGCCTGGTGAATGATTTTGGGATAAAGATACTGATGGGGACGTCTATTACTTAAGTGATTTTGGGATAAAGATACTGATGAGGACGTCTATTACTTAAGTGAGAGAGATTGTGAAACCCCTCGAGTAAAAAAAAGCTAAACTCTTAAACATCGAGCCACCTTTTGGTGTAATGGTTGGAATTTTATTTAAGAAACTCCACAGTTAAGCATGCTCATTCCTGAAAAAATTTGGGATGGGTGACCTCTTGAGAAGTTACACAAACAGGATAAAATTATGAGGCCCTTAGGCCAAAGCGGACAATATCTCAATAATTAAGAGTTTGGACTGTTACAAAGACTATCAAACCTTGTAACTTTCAAATTAGCAATTTCAAAAATTACACCATCCCAACCCAAATTGCTTCCCGTGCAGTGTTTTCATTCTGTAAAACAGCCTTGGTACGTAGCCTACCCCTACTGAAAAAACTCATACTAATTAAAAAAACCCCTTATTTCTAAGAATTGACATTGATATGTGTGTTCTTAGTTCAGTTTCCACGATTATTTCATCTTTTACCATTTCATTTGTTAGTTATTAAATAAATCGACACTGCAATCTGACTGGAGTTCAAATGATGGAAAAATCAGATAGATCACAAAGCCATAAAATCCTTTCATAAACTTCATCGCCATTAAAAGCGGGATAGAACACCCATATGACATTCAAAGAACATGATAACATATAAAAACCTGAGTGAACGAAGGCATGAACTACTACTTCTAAAATAGTTAAAATCGTTAACTTGCATTTCTACCATACTACATTATGAGGAGATTATTTACCGATGAACTCTTTAAATCTTCAAAGACTCTTTCCTCTTATTCTCCTCCATTTGGGAAAAGACCTTCATTGAAATCATATTATCATCAAAATATCGTGAATAAGGATGATCTCTAGGAACTAGCCTTCTGTACTTCTCGAATTGCTTCTCTGCCTCTTCCTTCTTCCGCAGCAACGTGTATATAATTCCTTGGCACAAATAAGGCCGGAAATCCCGCGGTTCCTGCCTCACCAATTCCTGGTAAATCTTCAACGCCTCCTCATACTTGTCCTCAATAACCTTAATCTGAGCAATGAGCAACTTAAAATCCCTCACGTCCTCCTTCCTCTTCAGCTTTTTGCACGTCTCCAAGGCAGATTCGACTCTTTTCAGTATCGCATTCAAATCGCCCTCTACCTCTCTCTGTGTCATAACCAGTCCATGGTAAGCCTCCACGAGCAAGGGGTCTTCAGCCAATATATCCTCAAACCCTTGCCTCGCAGACTCAGCATCCCCACTGTAGCTTTGAAGGTGAGCCTTCAGGAGGAGGAGCTCTTTCTCGCCAGGCTCCCGCTGTATAAGGCGATCGACAGCGGCAATCGCATCTTGAAACTTCCCGGCCTTGACCTTCAGCTCCATGAGCGCGCGCAGGGAGCGGCCGTCGTCGGGATTAGAATCAAGGTGCTCTTCCAGTTTGCGTTCCTTCTCCTCGTCAGAGAGTGCTTGGTCCGTGTCGAAGGATTCAACAGTCGCCGCAGGGGCCGGGGAGACTATGGCGGCGATGGCGCTGGGAGGGAAACGAAATCGAACAAGGAGTAAGCCAGCGCAGGTAGCGGCGGCAGCGAGGATGGAAGGAATTAGTTTCGGAGTTGAAATTTTGGGTACGGGTTGGGGAGGCTTGTGGGAGCAGTGGATGGAAAGACGGGGTTTAGGTAAGGAGCGTAGGGAGATGAGGGTTTTAGAGGAAGGGTTTAGGCGAAGAGAAGGTGAAGAGATGGAGAAGGGAGAGGAGAGTGAGAAGTTTGACGAGTGGAATGTTCTAGATACGGACTCCATTGATGAGTCTCGGTCGAGCTTTTTCTCTGCAGGGGGAGGAGAGCAGAGCAAAAGAAGCGGCGGTTGGAAGATATAGACTTGACTAGGAGGCTTCGTTCGGCAAATGAACTGGCTGAGAAGGGTACGGAGGGAAATTGGTTGCGAGACAAATTAGAACGGAGAGAATTTGAGGAAGAGTTGATGGGCCTGATTTTAGAGAATTTATTTGGGCCAACGCCAGACGTAGTTGTACCTATGTAGTTGGCGGAAATTATTGGGTCAGATCATCAAATACAGTTTACGTTCGGTATTCGGTATTCACAGTATTAAACAATATTGAGCTCGAAACTGTGAAGTACTGAGTACCGAGCAATACTAAGCTCGGTAATGAGCAGTACCGAGCTTAGTACTATTTGGTACTGCTCAGTACCGAGTAGGAGGTGATGTGGCGCTTTTTCATTGGGTTCCGAATACGTCCGGTGTCCTGACCCAATAATTTCCCACGTAGTTGAAACTCATGTCCACGGCTAGCCGGGTTAGAGGTGTAAGTAAGTCGAGTTAATTCCTGGGTTGATTGGAGAGCTCAACTCAAAAAATAATTTAGGAGTCGAATTTCATGAGTTAAAAGTGTACTGGACTCAACTCATTAGTTCCAGAGTCAGATCATAAAAAAAAGTGAATATAAAATGCACTTAAGAAACTAAGTTATAACAAGAAAATTCGTACCATGTAAACATCACAATGAGAACTCGCTCGAGAGACATTAAGCCTTAAAGAATAGCCAGAGGGGAACGCCTCCCATAAGAAGAACCAAGGGTTCATAAGAACCACTTAACTCGGGACTCGCCCATGAGAAGAATCATCCATCAAATCACTTGCAACTATTTATGGTGGAATGTCATCAACCATACTCTTCATCCCAACTAAGGAAAACAAATTTTTAATAGGGTTGTAGCTTGCCCCATTACAGTCAATCAAATATGGAGTTTACTACCCCCACGACTTGAACATACTCACCTCCCAATTTGAAGCAATCCAGGGCTCCAACAAATGGTCACCAAAGACTTTTGAGTGCTCGCCAGTCAGGGGTAGAGCTAAGATTTCTTTTTTTCTTATGGGGTACAATTTATCTAATTTAATAAAAAAAATCCCTCAAACTTTTTCATCCAAACTTGAAACTGGCATTACCAGTTTTAAATTTTATTTTAAATATGTCATTAAAAAAAGAAGAGTATATGAGATGGGGAGAAGAGAGAGAGAGAGAGAGAGAGAGAGAGAGAGAGAGAGAGAGAGAGGTGGAAAGAAATACTTGCTTAAGCCAATATTCGAGCACATGAGCAACCGTCGAGCAAGGATCGATGAGCGTGACTGTGTGTGTGGAAATTAAGAAATGGAACTTGTGTTGGCAAGGGTAGGCTACAAAAGATTAAAGGGAAGGAAATAATTCATACAAAGCTTAATTTTAACTTTTCACATTTTTCATATTAGAGTAGTATTTTAGAAGCAAGTAGCAAGCTAGTGAGGGCCCGTTCCTCCAGTGTCCATAGCCTAGATCCGCTATGTTCGCCAGTCCAACCCTCTTAGTTTGACCTTCACCAGCAGGCTCGTCTACCGACTTGCCCCTCCACATTTGGCACAAGGGAACTCTTGTGAGACTGAGGAGCAAAAAATGAGACAAATAGTTTTCCATCGAGTTAGCTATAGTATGACATATTTTTAAGGTAACCTATATTAGAAGTCATTAATTGTTGTACTTTTATTACTTGTTGTTATAGTTTTTCTTGTAGTCCTCAAATCTTTATAAATAAAGAGTGAAGAGGGACATTTTAGATTTGTTGACAATTTCTATAGACTCTAAGATAATAAATTAGCTTTCACCAAGTTTCCCTCATTCTCTCTCCATTCTCACACAGGTTCTCAGGTCATACCCTTCGGAGCTCGCTTGCTAGTGAGTTCAAATATTACCCACAGATAAACTTGAATCCAATATCCTGAAAACTCTTCCTTTTAAGAATTTCATGCATTAAAAAAATTTGAAAATGAGAAACAATTTGCATCAAATAAAAATATGTGCAAGTAAATATAAGTTAAAGTAAAATAATACTCAATAATCCAATTACATAATTATATTGTAAATTAAAGTAAAAAATCATTTAATACCAATAAAAATGCTCACAAATTAAAATATTTATGATTCAATCTCAACATACATGTACATTATTAATTTATGAATTCTATACCTAAAATGTACCTCCAAAAATATATAATAAGTATTAAACATAAAATTATAAGTATAAATATTGTAGTACAATATTAAATTTATTTGAAATTCATCTAAAAAATAGCCTAACTCCCTCAGCAAATGCTGCCTCTAAAAGCTCCCTCCTCAAATGCTAATTCTTCAAAAGCTTCCAAAATACCACATTTTAGTATTCATCCATTTCATCATCACATTCATTCATATTTACCTAAACAATATGTAAAATAAGTTATTTTTTAAATATAACAGTCAATTTGAATAGAATTATGATGTTACAATGAGTTTGTCCATTGCAATGCATATTGGGTTCTTAAGTAAGAGAAATATCATTCCCTTTATAAATTTAGCTTTGTAAAAAATCATAATTAAGATCATGAACATATTTATCAACTATCTAAAAATCTACAGTCTCAAAGCTTGTTTAGTCAATGGAGCATAACTTTTTTAAAGGTGTAACCTATAATGAAACATAATTTTCTTAAGAATCTAACATCTTTGCTAAAAATGAGAACATACTGGTATATGAAGTGCATATATATTCCTTAAATTAAAGCTGAACTAAACATACACCGAATCATTTAGTTGTTGATGCTCTAAATTAGATGTGTCAAATGGGTTATTAGGTCAAGTTTGGGTCCGATTTTAGATTGATATGTTTTGAACCCACCCAACTGATTTTGTAAATGGGTCAAATCCTTGAACATGACTTGACCTGCCCTAAACCTAGTTGAACCATCCCGATACAATAAATCGTTTAGATTAAAAAAAAAATTAGAGCAAGACATGACAACCAACGAGCAAAACAATATATTCATTCATTCCAAATTTAGATTTGCTACATGTATTCCTATTTCCAAAAATTCAATTAATTATTGCATCACTCCAGGTTTATGATAATAATTCTGACGACGATCATGTAGAAAATGTGGATTCAAAAAATATATTTTGCTTGATGAAGATGATCCTCCCATCTCTTTTTGATAATGCTCATATATGATTTGTACAATCTCTTTTCATTCTTGAACATGATTTTGATTACTTTAATTGTTCTTTATATTCCATCATAAACATAACTAAGAGATTGCTTCTCATTTCAATCAATTACTCCTAATAATCTTATAAGTGGTCTTAAAAAATTTGATCTAATAAATTAATCAATCTAATATTTATTATGTAAAACTATAAAAGGTACATCCTTCTATTTTGTTATTTTATCAACATTGAGTCAATGTAGTAGTTATTCATTAAAAATACTTGGAAATCATCCTTATATTTATCGATATTTTTCAAAATAGTTAAAGTTGTTGCAAAACAAATTTATGTTAAAATCTCTTTTCTATACAACTTGGTCTTTTCCTTAACAATATAAAGCAATGATTTTGAGCAATTATTGTCACAAGTGGCTCCCGCTATGTACGTAGCACGTTCTCATATATAGTTTAATTTAAGAGGTAGCCCCCTCCCCCCTATGTTGTAGCACTTTGTCATCTATCACAATTACTTTCTATCTTCTAATAGTTATATTACTCTGATATCATTTGTAATAATTCAAACTCTTAACTATAGATGTATTATATGTTTTGATCAAATGGTCTCAGGATTTTGTCCTATTTGTATAACTTCACATAAGGCCACCCATCCCTTGATTGCTTCCGCACGAGCACATTTTACTTTAGGTTTTCTTAATGAATTTTAATCATTACACCAAAAGGTGTCTCGATGTTTAAGAGTTTAACTTCTTTTTACTTGAGAGGTTTCACATGTCCTCTTATGCCTAATTTTTTTATATATTGCTTTTAATTTTTCTTGTTTTTGTGAGAGACATACATGTGAAACTTTTAAATTGAGCAATATTTCACTTAGCACCAATCAGATATTATTTGATCATTCAATTAATACCTTCGGCTTTATATATAACTCCACATAGCAAATATTTATATTTGTTCTCCCAACCAAAATGTCTACCTTCATAAGAATGATTCCATGTTGGGTCCTTTTTTCACACACAATAGGAGGAAATAAAGGCTTCCTTCCAAATGAATCCATTCTAAGCATAATAAAGAAATGATTGCTATTTAAATAAAAAGAAACTACACACCTTGATCTAAAAAATAGTTATATAATTCATCTATAATGACCAATGTATATTATGATATTTCTTTTTTGCATTAAATCATTTTGTATTTGATGGATATAAAAAAAAATGATCAGCAATTATATGCTACCAAAAGAGAACTTTTATGTTATTGATGAAATTATTATGCAAATATAATATCATGGAAATTTACTTACATCTTAAAAAACAATACAGAAGTTTTAATAGTGCTTAAGCAAAAAAAAAAAAAACCACAACAAGTGGCAGAATAAAGAAACAAATAATATTTCAAAGAAAAAAATAATATTTTCAAACAGTTCTAATACAAAAATAAGACCAAAAAAAAAAAGCAGACATTCAATTTTTGTATAAACAAGATATTTTGTCTTGAGAATACAATATCACATATTTTTAATATTGATATGATTAAAAAAACATATGATTTGCATGAATTTCGAGGCAATTTTCGAATTAAATTTTTTTGAAATTAAAGTTATAATCATCTAAAATTCAAATTTGGCATGCTTATAATTAAATGAAGTGTTTCGATGAGGCAAATCCAATGAGCCCAAGATCATTCAATCCATGCATCATTAAGACACTTAAATGCTGGAAAAAAAAAAAACTTAATGATCAAGGAAATAAATATGGACTCTACGATATAGTGTTTTGGATTCATGTTCAAATTACTAAATTATTTATCCTAAAAAGTTTATAAATAGAGCATCATTCTCTATATGAAGGGGGAGACCAAAGAGCTAAGAGAACTAAATAGCTA